TTATTGCTTGTAACGGACTCAGCAGCAAATTGATCAGATAGGTTCCGTTTTGCAATTCCATCACCATCTTCCTTGGATCGAACAACCTTCACAGGAGTTGATACCTCATCTTCCAACGTGGGATCCTACAATATTTCAATTAAATTTACATAATCAAAATAAATGTTTCATATTTCAATTCGTTATGAAATAATAAAATTAGAAATCGTATCATTGTGTTAAAGATGTATACCACTCCATGTGCAGCCTCATCTCTTAGTAAGAGAGTTAAGAAATCAGAATCCTATAAATAAAATTAATATTATATACAAAGAAAAAACACAAATACGTTAATATAAAATGAATACAATTAAACTTTATAATTTCGAATAAAGGATCAATTATGTGAATTCAAATAAGACTTACATCATACTCAACGACCTATTGACTATACTTGTTCACCAAGCGTTCGTCAACGACAACTTTTATCACGGTAAAAGTAGAACCCTGATTGTAAGGGTCATCCGGCTTAATGCGAACCTTAAATAGATATGACCTCCCTTGCAAATCTTCAAGTTCGTCGGGTAGTTCAAATATGGGTTTCTTCTGCCATAAAATCAATATTAATATTGCTTATCATTTTTGTTAACCGTAATAATATAAATATAAATATAAATATAAATATAAATATAATATAAATATAAATAAATATAAATATAAATAAATAATAAATAAGATATAAGATATACCTTTTGGGATAATTCACGTTTCAAAACATCGCAAGTTTTGCCAATGATATTTTGACAATCCTTATCCCAACAAAGGAAGGTTGCACTGGCGGAAGCATCCGAAACACCAAATTGAATTTTGTAGCTACAAATAAAAAAAATTTTTGATTAATGTTGACATTAATAAAGTTCATAAACAAATACATATACATATTTAAAATTGAATATATAGAATATTAACTAACCGAAAGGTGCCACGATTGTGAGAACACTTCCGACACGAATATATCCCGTTGTCATCCTCCATTGAGGAGTTACAACGAAGACATGCAAGGTACCACCATTGGTCTATGATGGAATCGATCCTCGCGCAAACCCAAGTGTCCATGACCTACAAAGAATAAATACATACATAACCATTAATATGAATTCGATTAGAATATATATAGAATGGCATTGAGTTGATCGTAATTGTCATTAAATAATGATAAATAAATTATAAATTATAAATTATAAATTATAAAAATAATGAAAATTATATTTATTAGATTTACAATTAAAATGCAAAATAAAGTTACAATTTATATTACCTCAATATACTCGAATAGAGAATCAACAGAACTAACAACAATGTCACCATCATCAAGTCCTTGTAGTTCGGTCTTCACAATGATGGAGCTACTTGACACCAATTTGGTATCTTTAAATTTAGTCAGCGCCAGCCTATGTTGTAGAATAATAGAAACAATGCTAAGATATAATATGATGACACACACATGTAATAGGTAATGTAAATGCTTTGGAGCATCAAATAACACGTACCTCCTCCGAAAGTCTTCAATTTCGGGTACATCCACACCAATGATCAACGTCACGTCCTTCGACGTGCTTATTTGAACATTACCTATTACACAAAATATTGTCGTAAACAATTAGTATTAATCAAAATTTTATTTTATAATGAAAAAATTATCAAATTAACATAATTAATTACCTCTCCACTCTCTTGCGCGGCACATTTGCATTATGATGACAAAAGGTGTTTTTTCGTTTTCATAATGATGCTCCAAAGCAATCAGCTGATCAACATATCGACCCCAGACAGTGCATTCCTTGACATTACCCCTGCACAATGTGAATATGTGTTTTTAAATAATGTATTAAAAAGCGTTTTGAAAAAAATTAAATTACATAAAATATTTATGTAATATAAAAAATTTTAATATAAAGCTACAAAATATTACTCCAAATCCATAATAGAGAACACAATCATTTGGGTAGGAACTCCCTTCACAATCTTCATTTGAATTGGTTGTATTGAAACAACCAATCCAATGATATCTACAAAAAATAAAAGAATGCATCATATTAAAATGTTGAACATAACAAATATTTTATTAAAGCATTGCAAAAAAAAATCGGAATATATATATGTATATATGTAACGTACCAAACAACATAGCTTCCTCAATGTTACGAACATCCATCAAAGTTAGAAAGTTTCTAAAGTCAAAACGGAAAAATGGAAATTCCTCCTTCCATTTCACAATCTTCGTTTGGCCATGGATGATGATCCTCCATTTTCCTATGGTGGATTTGTAGATGCCGATATTACTTTCAACTTGATAATTTGTCAAAATATAAAAACCACCTTCTTCAATATGGCCTTTGAATTTTTGGATGTTGACAGGTCGAATAATGCCAGTAATTCGTACACCCTAAAACAAATACAAATTATTTGTGAATTACAATATATTCTAAAAGTTAAAATTATTAGATAAATTATAAATAATAAATGTGAATAATAACAAAATAATATATTACCTCAACATCGTGAAAGACAATCTCAAGAACATTTCGATAATTTCGAACATCTTCGACTCGTTGGAACATCCTAATAATGCGTAGCTTCATGGGTGGCTTTTTGGATCTGTCGATATCCTTGATGACTCCAAAATCTATAGGCATTGTGAATGTTGTTGTAAAAGGTTGGCGAAAAAAATGTATTGTGGGATGTGTATGATGTCGAGACTATGTTGCAAAGTTTGTGATGTTTATATAAGAATATGTAGGAAACAATCGTGAAATATCGGTTACTAAAATTCCATAGGATACGATCGGATTTTCTTATAATAAAAATATGATGAGTTGGTTCGAAAAATGAGGACTCTATACATGGCATTTCAATGCAATTGGCATCTAATCTGCTGATTTTTATGATTACATTTGGTTCGAAAAATGAGGAGACTGCGGTTAAATTGTGAAAGAAAATCGCAACAAATTCGCATAAAATCCGCTGATTTTTATGATTACATTTGGATACCCATTGAATTTGCTCATAATCCCGTTTTTTTTTTGGTAAGTAAAATCGCAATACACCTAAAAGTAAAAAGCAATTGAATACGCATAGAATCCGGATATATTGTGCAAGAAAATCGCAACAAATTCACATAGAATCCGCTTACCCATTGAATTGGATCATTATTCTTTTTTTTTGGCAAGTAAAATCGAAAAAAAATTGGAACAATATCGGCATTATTGATAGAAAGTCGGGGTTGATAAAATATCGGCATTAAAAATATCGGATCGGATCATTACCGAAAAATTGGAACAATATCGGCATTAAAAATTGGAACAATATCGGCGTAAAATTAGAACAATATCGGATCATTACCCAAAAGGTGTCAATTCATAAAAATCACTTCATTTTCTTAACGAAATCCTCAATTATAGTCATTACTAACCGATTTTAAGGTGATAAAGAGTAATTACTTCAATTAGCAAGTCAAAGCATTATTTTTTAAAGTCAACCATACTATTTTTGTATTTTTCCATCAACCTCTTTATATTACTATAGACTATAAGCTAGCTTATCAGCTATCACTTAATTTTATCGCACCCTAATACAAGATTTTGGATAAAACTAGATGTAATATAGAAAATACGCAAACTTGAATAAGGGCCCACAGTATTAAGTTGCTACTGGTTTGACTCACCCACTTCCAACCCGCTCTCATGTGCTATCTGGGCCCGACTTTGAGCATTAACTTCCCTGGATAAGATGTGATCAATTAATTTCAGCTTGGTGATTCACCTAATTCCATGATTAGTCATGAATATGCTGACTTACTTATGATTAAGCAGCTATATTTTTTAATAAGTATATGTTGATATTTAAATATCATATTTTAAAGAATAGCGTAAATATGATATTTTATAATATAAATATGTGTTTTTATTAATAAAGTATGAGAAATAAATCTTAACAAAATATTTTGTGGTCCATGATAGTCTTAATAATTGATCATTTTCTTTTTACATATCGTTATAATAGTCAGTGGTTGTTGATAAGAACTAAATATATAGAAAACACTAGCAAGTGTCTTGTGAGCTCAATCCGTTGACATGGTTTCTTTTCCAGCCATGTATTTGTTTTTGGATTGTCCCCTCCACCAACTCCTCGCATTCATATTAAAAATGGGACAAATTAACTTGAGATAATTTCAATTTTAAAAATTGAAATCCTAAAAGATAGAAGGAAAAGAAAATGTTGTTAGTAGAATTCTAAATTTTCTTGAAATCCAACAATATATGAGTTACAATTTATAATTACAAGACCTTATAATCATCTTTCCACGAAAATTAATCAAGTGTTAAAAAATTTCGCCAATGCCTTTCTCTACATTACATTATTAAAGTTATATTCTCTTTATAAATTCTTGATCTAAAAATAATTATAATTTTTTATTTTTCAGTTTTAGCCTTTATATTTCTAATTTGTGAAATTGATCATTTTTCTCCCCAACTGCCTCTTAATTAAAGGAAGTTAATTACATCAAACCTCATTGCTATTGTCCCTATTTTCGAATTTCAACATGACATACAATATATATTTTCCGGCTAGTTGTAGGAATTTCCGACATCACACCAATTCTATTATTGTTATTTTACACTCGATATTTCGCATTAGGAGCAGTAATGCACGAGGCAATCAAAATACATTTTTGCCTCGTAAATAAAGTTCAAATTTTAAATTTTATGCAATTTAATAATAAAATGATGAGATGTCTATTAGGTATGTACAAATCATACTATCCATAGAATTAACCAGAGAAATAGAATGCCTCGATTTTCTTTAGTTTCAGTCCAAAAGAATTCTATCAATTTGATGTAGGAAAATATGTTTATATTATTTATTTATTGTAAAAAAAGTTTATTAATTATTATTTAATGTATTTGAATTTTATATTTATAATTTTTCCGGACAGATATTGATGCAATGCTTATCATTACAGCACACCCACAGAAAACGACACACATATCTCTACATTTATAGCTGACAAAATTTCTCTCTTGTCAAAAGAAATTCTCTCTCTTCAATAACACGCCCAAAGCCAAAATACAAAGCTCGATTAAATCTGAAATCCAAAAGCCCTAAAAATCAGCCATCACACCGCATAATCACAGTTGAAGCATGGAAGCCGACGTTTCGATTTTCTCATAGTTGAGAAAAATACTTTTTTCAGAAATTTGGATGATAAAAAACAAATCTTTGGGTTTCAGTTTCAGGGGCTTTTGTAATATATTTGAAAAAGTTGAGATTTTTATGGTTTTATAGGGATGTTCAGCTTTCGTGTGTTTTTCTGCTGTCTTTTTACTTTGATGGGTGCGTTTACAGCTTATGGAAACGTGGTTTTGATAGGGAAAAACGTTACTTTGTCGTTCGAGGATATTGAAGCTAATTTTGGTGAGTTTTGAATTCTCTCCTTATATGTTGTGTGAGGACCAGTTGTTATTTGTGTTTGTGAATCTTGAATCTGGGCGGTGAAAGGTTGGTTTTTGTTTGATTAAACTGATGTTGTTTTATATGATTGAATTGATCTGATTAGTGCGATCTCTGTACTGGTGAATCCATTCATTATTTGCTTGATTTAAGTTCTTGCTGTGATTTAGTTTGTTGAATTGTTAAATTTCTGCAATGATTAGTGCGATCCCTGTACTGGTGAATCCATTTATTATTTGCTTGATTTAAGTTCTTGCTGTGATTTAGTTTGTTGAATTGTTAAATTTCTGCAATATTGAAGCTTCATTTAGTATTTTTTTTTTTTTTTTGGNTAACTGTTTTTGGGATCTGCAAAGGAGAGATTTACTTTTAGATGTATGCACTTTACTTTAACTTAGCGAGATTTTTGTGGAATATATGGTAGACTTGATTCCGACACATGGCATTGTGTTTGAACTTTCCTTAAAAAACTAAAATTATATGAAGTAACTATGTAGAAAGCTTGCATTTAACTGCCTCTTTTTGTCGCTATAATAAAAATTTTGTACCTTTTCATGCGTTTTCTTTTATATGCTATTGTCTACTTTTGATACAAATATATCTTTGTTTTCAGCTCCTTCGGTTAAAGGCTCCGGCTTTTGCGGTACGTTATTAGTTGCTGAGCCTTTGGACGCATGCTCAAAGTTAACTAACAAAGTTGTTTTAGAACTAAATCAAACAAATACAAATCCACTGTTTGTGTTAATAACAAGGGGAGGATGTAGCTTTGATGATAAAGTCAGGCGAGCACAAGTTGCAGGTTTCAAGGCAGCCATTGTTTATAACAATGAAAACGGTGACTTGGTTGCAAGTAAGTCTTTCTCCTCCAAAATCTTCATACATTTTCATACTGTTTTCATGGACCATAACTTTGAGTTAATTACAAAACTACCCAAGGTGTGTAGCCTAATCACTACAATACTCCAGTTAATTTTCAGAATTATAGAAGATAATTGGGTCATTAATCATTTGTTATGAATCGGGTAGTTGTTGTATTTTGAGAATAATTTGGGCGGCTTCTTTGCGTAATGAACTCCATAACTTTTATGCTTGATTTGTTTGGGAGGAATATTACGATACATGGATAGCCTTCTTTTCACGTCTATTCAAGTAACTGTTTGTCACTTTTGCCTTTGTGATTTAGTTCTATTGGTTAATGTTCTCCTAACTTGGTGCCACTTGAACAATTTTTACTTTTCTTGATTGCTCCTTTTGAATCTTTACATTCTTCTTCGTTTTTCGAAATCTGTAAAAAGTAACGCTTTTTAACTTGTGAGTGAAGATTTTGTGTTTCTGCCATAAACTCTTGAGTGTAGTCTGGTGAAGATATAAAAACTCATGGGAGTTATAGGGCGAAAATATGTGAAATATACTCTTTTGCCACAGTGTATTAATCTCATGTTTTTAAGGGAATTATCCTTGAGCATCTTATTAGCATACAATCATACAGCATCCTTTAGATAAATTCTTCTTAGTTGTGGTAACTTTCAGTTTCTAAATCAGATCTTTTTTTTTTTCCTTTTTTCTTTTTGCTTTTATTGCTTTCTCATTCGTCTATCTTTTTTCCTCCAACTTAGTCTATCATCTTCGACTTAGAATCTCTTCAACATCATTATAGTTCAATTTTATTATAAATTCGTCATTTTGTTTTTATGAAAACATTGACCTATATACACTCACTAATTAACATTGACATTGAACTTTGCAGTGGCTGGAAATTCAGCTGGCATAAAGATACACGCGGTCTTCGTCTCCAAAGAAGCCGGTGAAACACTTGCAAACTACGCGGGCAATGCTGACGTGGAGCTATGGGTGGTCCCCACCTTCGAAAACTCCGCTTGGTCCATCATGGCCATCTCTTTCATCTCTTTACTTGCCATGTCAGCTGTGTTGGCCACGTGTTTCTTTGTCCGGAGGCATCGGATTAGACGAGAAAGACCTCAGGCGCCACGCGTGCGTGAGTTTCACGGCATGAGCAGCCGTTTGGTGAAAGCCATGCCGAGCCTTATATTTACGGCCGTTTTGGAGGACAACTGTACTTCTGCTACATGCGCCATCTGTCTCGAGGATTACAACATGGGGGAAAGGCTTAGAGTTCTTCCTTGTCGCCACAGTAAGTACTCTCTCTCTCCCTTCTCCTTTTCTTTGACTTTTTTATTTTAGCTAACAATTAAAAAAATCCCTTGGGTTTTAACTTTAACCTAAGTCACAAATACTCCACCGCTTGTTAAAAACAGCCCTTTATGTGTTCTGCATTTGATTTCCCTCGTTGAAGATCCAATTTGTATAACATAAACAAATTCTCTTGGGGGGAGAATTGGTGATTTCGGAAGACATTTGGTTGTCATTTCTTATTCGGTAAAACTAAAAAGGTGTGTATTTTGGTAGAAGCCATAATTAGCCCTTCTACCGATTTAGTGTCCTTTTCATTTGTTATATAATCAACATATTCATCAACAATTCTATGTGAAAGATGGCCGAAGTTGTTAGGGCGTGCTATAACTGCTCAAAATGAGAGTGGATTTTTTGGTTAACTAGAGTTAATTTGAAAAAAGATTGTATGTTAGTTGTTAGTGGGATTTTGAGTTTATATTAAAATAATATTTAAAATAAAATAATTAAACTTGATTTGCTTTAAAAATAGGAAAGAGATGATGTGAAGTGATAGTTAAAATTATGTGAATGGATGAATAGCGAATTAAAGTTGATGTGATGTGTAAGAATAACTGGATGATATTATTTAATTATATTGATAATATTGAGGATAATGAGGTTGCATTAAAGCTAGTTATATTTTGAGTATGAACTGAATTAAGATAATTTGTAAACAAACACAAATCCACATATATTGATTTTTTTTTGGGTTCTATTCCACACAAACTGTAAAATGATTTCGCGCTTAGCTGCACAATCGAATAATGTCATCCTTTATTTATCTTGATTATTATTTCTTTTTTTTTTTTCGCCAGAATTTCACGCTATATGTGTCGATGCCTGGCTAACAACATGGCGAACATTTTGCCCCGTTTGCAAACGCGACGCTCGAACGAGCACCGGCGAACCACCCCCATCCGAATCAACTCCTTTGCTATCCTCCTCCAATCCACCTTCCCAATCCTCCTCATTCATATCCTCCTCCGTTCGATCATCCGCAATCCAAATCGGGCCGCCCTCAATCTCCTCCACCCCTTTCAACCATGGCTCTAGCCGGAGCTCGGTTGACCTCCGGAACATGTCATCATCTCAAAGGTCAAATGTTGGTCCGTATTTGGTCTCCCCACACTCATTGGGCTACCCTTCTTTATCGCCAATGAATTCGAGATACATGTCGCCGTACATTCCAAGCCCGTTAAACGGCCCGTCGAGCTATGTTGGGTCTTCGAGCCGAAGGCCCGGCCCGTTGCATTATAGTGAGTCAGCCAATAGCTTTTCACCGTTTGCATCCACACACTCGCTTCCTGATTGTTGAAAGGGCTTCGGTTTTGGGCCGGGTTTGGAAAATCGAGGACTGGTTCCGGTTTGCATGATAATCTGTAAATTATATAAAAAGCTTAACTGTTTGTTGATAAGAAGAGTATATTTTGTGTGGCACATAAATTTTGTGATTTTGTGGGTTGAGGAGGATCTGAGCTTGAGAGTTTTTGAGTGAATCCTGTTGTATTAGGCTTTCAAAGTTTGATGGTTTTGCATTTCGTTTTTAGATTGCCTTACATTAATGTATACAAGTACTGTGTTGACTTCAAAAATCACCGTTAGATCTCAAAAACACACAGAATATAATCTACAGTATAATAATAAAGATAATAATAATTTTGGTTGGTCATGATTTTGCAAATTTATAAAAATACAATTTATCATAATAGTGATTTGGATACGTATGTAAGTTACACTATTTATATTTATATTACTCTAATTGTTAAAATTACATACACAATTTATATTTATATTACTCTAATTGTTAGAATTTTAAAATGTAATGTACTCACTATCAAATACATAATATTAACTATTATATATACATATAATATTTTATATGTATCTATGCATGCACGCATAGTTAGAACGTAGAATAATACCTTTAAACAAATAATGAATCATTTTTATCAACAATAAACTCGCACAAATTCCATATCTTCTTTCACACCTTTCAACTTCAAAACAAAAATTTACGTGAGAGCTGACCTAAGTAGTTAGGTGGATTGATACCTTATATTTTTCAATAAAAAATAATATTTATAGTTTGAAATATCATACTTAACCTTCAGTCCATCGCCATTAACCTGCAGTCGATAGCTAGACCATAATTTATTAACAAAAATGTGATTGTTTTAACCGTTAGATCACATACAGTTAGTATAAGATAGATGATTTAACGGTTAAAACACTCGACCGAATGGTTCAGTAACGAGACCGTAGGTCCGTAGCATTTTCTTATATTATATTACATAAATATTTAACATAAATTTTTATACGACGGCCTGAATGCTCAACCAGTCATAATTTTAACAAATACTGTAATTAAAATTGTTTTCCTCTTACACAAACAATTGGACATCTCAAAAAGGCCATAAAGAACATCTTTTTTAAACACAAATACTTCTATGATAATTCAATAACAAATGGCTTTTTCTACTCTACCGATCTCTTCTTCGAATTTACAGCAGCGGTTGCTTTTTCTGTTATTTTTACTTTTGCTCGCGCCATGGATCACCGCATCAGAATTTCACTTCAAGTTGGACGGAGAAGTGTTGGAGCTCGACGAGTCCAATTTTGACGCTGCAATTTCGAATTTTGATTATATTTTTGTCGATTTCTATGCCCCGTGGTGTGGGCACTGCAAGCGCCTCGCGCCTGAGGTTTGATCTCATTTTTCAGCTTTACCATTGGCGTTTTTATTGGATTTTTGTTTTGATTATGTGCCTTTTTTGGGGGATCTGTCTGAGCTGTGACATGGGATCGTATGCACTGTTATAAGTATGTTTTTTCCGCCTGTTTATTCTTCCAATTTTCTTCGATTTAATGCATGAATGCTGAAGGCGATTCTTTTGAGCTGATTTTTATCATGTCATGACAATGGGTATGGGGAAAAGGGCAAAATTTTTGTGCTATGATCACAATACAATATTGAATTTGTATTTTCTCTTCGTGGGTTGATAGGATTGGATTTGGATTTTTTTTTTTTTTTTCTTTTTTTTCTTTTTTCTTTTTTTTNTTAAGACTTGTCATGCCGATTTTCAGGATATTTGATAGGAAGAGGCTGGGCTGCAAGTTATTCGTTTTTCCTTGTATGGCACTTTCTTTATGTTTTCTTCTAGAACAGAACTTTCAAATTGCATGCGATAATTTGTTCGATTGATGGTGCTTCTTCGAATTGGACATGAAAATCACCTTTCATATCTCTCTGTATTGTTCTCTGTTTTTATTTTTCACTACGATGGGCGAGGCCCAGTTTACCCTGTCTGCTCTGGATTAAGTCTTTCTATTCCATTTACAAAAAGTACCGACTATTGGGAATGTTGAATTACAGTTAGATAAGGCGGCCCCAGTTCTTGCTGGATTAAAGGAACCTATGGTAGTTGCAAAGGTAGATGCTGACAAGCACAAGAAGCTTGCTTCGAAGCATAATGTTGAGTATGTTGTGAGACTGAAACCGAATTTGTATCATTTATGTCCGAAGAATATTAGAGAGGTGCCTAAAATATTTGTTCTACTTGATGCAGTGCATATCCAACTCTAAAGATTTTTATACGTGGAGTCCCTACGGAGTATTATGGACCTAGGAAAGCCGATTTGCTTGTTCGATTTCTGTCCAAATTTGTTGCTCCTGATGTTTCTGTTCTGAGTTCCGATTCTGCCGTGTGGGACTTTATCGAAGCAGCTGGCACAGATTTTCCCATCTTCTTGGGATTTGGCTTAAATGAGTCTGTTATATCAAATTTGGCTGTCAAGTATAAGAAGAAAGCATGGTTTTCTGTTGCTAATGGCTTCTCAGAGGATATCATGTCCTCGTATGATTTTGATAAGGTCCCTGCTCTGGTTGCGATTCAGCCAGCCTACAAAGAACAGAGCATATTTTATGGGCCATTTGAAGGTTGGCTTTTATTTTGAAGCAATAGTTATTAATATTGTTATCCTGTTTTTGCATGACTTGTTAATCTTTTTTGCGGCATGCAGTTTGATATAAGTGTATGCGAATATGTATGGACATAAAACAAAGTTTGTTGCCTCAAATGTATGGACAGACCATGCTGTCTAATTATGTACTTATGTAACACAATTCATTTTAATAATGGCCTAAACTGCAGAAAATTTTCTGGAAGATTACATAAAACAAAGTTTGTTGCCTCTGGTATTACCTATAAATCGAGACTCGTCAAAGTTACTTAAAGATGACGAGAGGAAAGTTGCTCTTACTATCTTGGAGGATGTAATGGACGAAAGATCCGAGAGATTAATAGAAGTTTTAAAATCCGCTGCCTCTGCAAATCGTGACTTGATATTTGGTTATGTCGGGTTTAAGCAGTGGGAAGATTTTGTCGAGTCGTTTGAAGTTAACAAGAAAACTCAGCTCCCGAAGATGGTTGTATGGGATGGTGAGAAGGATTATTATAATGTAAGTGGTGATTTCTGTTATGAAGATTCATGTCCAATTAGGCAACATTTGCTTATGAAGTTTCATGTCAAATTAGGCAACATATGTTTTACTTACGAAGTTTCATGTCAAATTATCCCTTTTTGTTTGTTTGTACAGGTTATTGGTTCGGATAGCATAGATGAAACGGATATGGGCAACCAGATCTCAAAATTTTTAGAAGGCTACAGAGAAGGAAATGTGATTCAAAAACGCGTTTCGGGCCCAACTTTGATGGCATTCATAGCCTCAAACTTAGTTGTGAGGACTTTCCTAATTATACTTTTCTTTATATTGGTGATGATATTGATTTTGGTGATGATGAAAGACGAACCTTTGGCTGTCGGCAAGCGTGACCTGGCCGAAGATAGGACCTCTGCCTCTCAAACCGCAGCCAGAGAAAAAGAGGACTGAGCTTTATGCATTCCTAGGAAGGCTTCACGACATGTTCTGACACGACTGAAGCAAGCCATGTTTAAAAGGGAGTTTTTACGTTTTTGAATTTCGAAAATAGTGATCTTTATTCTCGTGCAGTTTACAACCTTTATGCATTTGTAGATTATCTATTTTATCAGAATTGAGGGAAATTTTCAGTATTTATTTGTCGGTAGAATATCAATGGAATCACAATTTCAGATGTCAGTTGGCTTTCAACACAGCACAGTAGAACATGCACATAGGCACAGATTATGCTGCACTCAGGCATAACATAAACAACATTTATGTAAGAATAATAATATAGCATTTTGTGATTACTGATTAGTGGTTCTTCAACAAAAAAAATGTGCATACTAGACAAGATATCCTCTACTCTAGGATGTTGCTTATATTTATTGAGCTTCAACCAAAAAACAGAGTTATCATAATCTGTCGGCCAAAGTGTCGTCATCGTAAGAAGGAACATGCTGGATAATCACTCGTGCACTCTTGGAAACTTTTTGCCCATTCACTAGTTTGAGAATCTTTTCGCACGTCTCTTGACTCCACTCGGACTTGTGCATCCACCAATGCTGGTTGCCTCCAATATCGCACCTCGGGCACCTGCTTATCTGCATTTGCTCCAGAGATGTTGCGTTTTCTAGTATGCACGATGCGAATTCGATCTTGTTTTTTGTCCCACAAAATCCGTTTATTTCCACTTTTTTCAGCTCCGTGTGGATTAGTGTGTCAGATGAAAGCATCTTCATCATTGGGCCATCATTGTACACAATTTCTGTCTACAGAGAAGAAAAAAAAAAAAACAACATTTTTGTTGAAGAACTTGGGGGTGTAGTGCATATATCGTTTGAACTTGGAAAAACTTACGTCTAAGCGAAACTCGTGCAAGACGGGGCACATTTTTAGAAACGGAATCATCCTGACGATCATATACTTGTAAGCTGTACGATCAAGTCTGAGCCTTAATCGCCTGAGGTTGCTGAACGTGTTGGTCGGATCATCCAGATGGACCTTTAAAAACCAAAATCATTAATTTGCAACGAAAAAAAAGGGGTGTATTCGTTAGCAATTTCGCGTGACATTTTCAGACTTTTTAAGATTTGAGGTTCTTTAAAGAGGGAGTATTCAATAAAGTTTTTTAAAAACTTTCAAAATTTTAGTGTTTTCAACTGAAACTTTTTAAGACTTGTAAATTGTCTGCATATATTCAAATATGAATTACCCGAATCATATCAATATCGCACGTGATGACGTGCAGTGTCTGCAGACGAGGGACGTGATGGAATACAAAGACGACCGGCTTACGGTTATGAAACTCGATGCTGACGAGGCTGGCCGCGTGGAATCTCATCTCCTTCACCCCTGCACACATCTCGATGACGAGGCACTCGAGCCTGATGTGGGCCCCACAGAAGCGCAGGGTGGAATAGCTGGGAGCGCACCTACAGTAATTCATCCTCAACTCGCGGAGAGCCGTGCAACCGGACAGGAGGGACTCGAGGGAGCCCTCCGCCAGCTGGACTCGACTCAGCTAAGAATCTGAAGGGACCCACTTGCGGAGTTGGGGTTAAGAGTTGTGGATTCGAGCTCCAGGTGGGTGAGGCAGCGAGTCTCGGGAAGGTGGTGGCTGCAGGAAAACGGGCGACCGCACGAGTTCTTATAATACTCGCAGCAGCATTGGACGACGAGTTTCCTGAAAAAGTTGTTCAAATATAATCATAATCTGCATAAGAGCATAGCTATAAGTGAATGAACAAAGGAAAACTGGTGCAGAAGAATGTCTTTTCCTCTGTGAGGACAAACATCAAACACTTGCTGTGCAACACACAAAATCTCCAAATAAATCGCCACATATCCCATTTTTTTTTTTCTTCATGAATCGTACTCAAAAACAAAATCCCAGAATGACACTACACTATTTGCATCTATATTAGAAAAAAAATAAAGAAAATGTAAGTATAATTTCCTCACGGATCCCAAGTGGGCGGAGACGAATTGCGCGAAGCGTTCGTAGTACGTCTTGAACAGGCAGCAGCAGAAGATGAGGCTGCTGATTTTCGAGCCATTTTCGGGAGCGGAAATACTTTGGCGCGATCCCGGCTATCTTCAAGCACCGGAAAAAGCCGATGGGCTCGGGGTAATCGTCCAAGTCCAATCGTTGAAGCATGACGCGTATCCAGGTGCGGGAATAGGGGCGGCAGACGAGGTGGTGGCAACGGAGGTCGAGGTGGATAACGGATTTGTAGAGGTTGGCCCATCTTCGGGACAGGACGCACGTACGGATGGCATCCTTCACCGGAAGGCGGTCGAAAATAGAGATCAGGATAGAGTCCGGTAGCTCGTCGATCGATAGTCTTCTTCTTCTTGTTGTTGTCGATAAAAAAGAAGATGAAATTCGGTAAGACAATGCGAAGACTGAAACTTGATAGGCTAATAGCGCGAACCAGGTCGATAAACCTAGTGGTGTGGTAGAGGTCATGGCTGGCTTGCCTCTATCTTTATCCCCAACCCAACCCAACCCAATTCAATAATAAAAAATTATTTCTCTCTCCTCTACCTACATAACCCAACTTTTAACAACCTACATATCTTTATCCCTAACCCAACCCATTCCAACCCAACATACTATTTATTTTATTTTTATTTATTAAATATTATCTACAATAGATTTTTTGTTATTTTTTTAGTTGTGATAAATTAATGAAAAAAATTATAATTTAAAATATTAACTTCAAAAAATTAATATTTTAAAATACAACTAAAAAAAATATTACAAACATAATTAAAAATTGAAATTACATAATTCGGTACGAAATAAACTAAACAAGTTACAAACATTTCAAATGAAATTACACATCAACTACCATTGCCAAATTTTTCCCATATGTGCTCAATCAAGTCATTTTTCAAAGTCACGTGAGCTTCTCTATTACGGAGTTGTGACCTATTGGTCATATACGTAGATAGGTTTGTGATTCTTTCAGTCGAGTATTGAAAAGGCATATCATCTTCCTCTTCTTCTACGTCATTTCTTTGCCTCCGTCCGTTTGTAGGCCTCTCGTTCATAAATTCTGTAGGATCATAATAATTCAAGTAGGCATCCCGTTCATCTTCTACTATCATATTGTGCATGATGATACAAGCCATCATAATTCTTCCCATAAAAAAACGATCCCATACTAGACATGGTCGTTTGATAAATGCAAAACGAGCTTGTAGAACACCAAATGCGCGCTCAACATCTTTTCTAGCCGCCTCTTGGTGCTGAGCAAACAATTTGTGCTTTCGAAGTTGGGGGGAAGTAATTGATTTAACAAATGTAGCCCATGAAGGATATATACCATCAGTGAGGTAATATCCCATATTTCTTTGTTGACCATTCACAACGTAGCTAATTTCTGGTGCACGACCTTCCAAAATATCATCAAAAACAGGAGATTGGTGAAGTACATTGATATCGTTGCACGAACCTGGTGTTCCAAAAAATGCATGCCATATCCATAAGTCATATGATGCAACAGCTTCCAAAATAATTGTTGGTTTTCCACTTCTTCCGGCATATTGCCCAGCCCATGCTGTAGGACAATTTTTCCAACCCCAATGCATGCAGTCAATACTTCCCATCATTCCTGGGAATCCACGTTGCTCCCCCGCATGAAGTATTCTTGCCAAATCTTGTTCATTAGGCCTTCTGAGGTATTGGCTGCCGAAGTTAGAAATGACGCCTTCTACGAATTTCATGAGAGATTCCCTCGTTACAGCTTCACTTATTCGCAAGTATTCATCAACAGCATCCGCTGATGTTCCATAGGCTAACACCCTTATGGCTGCAGTACATTTCTGCAATGGTGAAATGCCCAGCCTACCAGTGGCATCACGCCTTTGTTGAAAATATTCGTCGTTGGTGGTGATTTCGCTCACTATACGAAGAAAAAGATTCTTACGCATGCGAAATCTCCGACGGAATACCTCTTCAGGATAGGTTGGATTGTCGGAGAAGTAGTCATTGAACACATTCGCCTCTCCTCTCTCTCGTTGCCTCTCAATGACTTGCCTTCTACCTCTAGAAACGGGATTTGTTGGTTGTAAGACCATATTTGGAATACGAACAATCAAATCTTCCATAATATGATCAAATTGTTGATTTTGTTGAATCACTCGTTCTTCCCATTCATCAAATTCGATGAAATTGGAAGTTTCAGAACTAGAACTTGAATTTTCAGGTGAGTTTTCAATGGAAGACATTTCTGAACAAGAACGAATTGTCTTACGAAAAAACAAAGTTATAATTGATATAAAGAAAATAGATATGATCTGATTTTGATATCAACTTGATCTGAATCCAACCATATTATATAGGAATGTAGTATGAAGAGTTGGTGTAGATTTAACTTAAAATAAAATTAAAGTAAATGTAAAAGAAAAGTAAAGTAAAGTTAATATAAAGAAAAGTAAAGTAAAGTAAAAGCAAAAGTAAAGTAAAGTAAAAGCAAAAGTAAAGTAAAATAAATAAAAGTTGCATGTGCATTCAATGAATGTAAATTTTATTGAATAAAGCTGCTATTTGATCCGGATTCAATGCATGTGAATTTTGGAAGACAAAATAAAGCTGCTATTTGATAGTAATAACTCATACACTATATTCCAAATAGCTCTTGCTCATTCATTTAATAAGTGACTATTATACTAGTAGATAGGACAATCATTAAAGTAACATGTGATTTCTGAAAAAGATTAAAAAAAAAACTTACTAAATAGACTTTGATTGAATAACTTGAATTACAGGAATTGAAAAGCTTACATCAGAATAACTAAAACGACATAAATGAAAGCTGCATGATAATAAATTACATCGACTTTCCAAATAAAATTGAAGTTAAGTGACGTTTCATCTCTTCATCTTCCGGCGATAAGTGGTCTTTTGCCAACAGCGTATTCAACACCATCATATTCATTTTCCTAATCTTCCTTTCTTCTTTCTTGCGTTCCAACTCCATCCTATCGTTCGATATTTTTGTCATTAAATCACATTCGTTCTTTCTTGTAAGTCTTAGTGCACGAATTTCTGCAGTGAACTCATCAGGAATGGAAGAAGATTGTGATGCTACCTTTTTTCCTTTTTTTTTGCCATATCTCTACCTTCGGGACGGGAAATCACAAAATCATCACTAACTGGAGTTTCTTGATTTGAGGGAATTGAATAATCTCCATCTTCAGTAGTCCTTGATCTTTTGGAACTGCCATGGCTTTCTTCATTACTCGTTTCATCTTCAGGGCGCGAACGAGTTGAATCACGATCTAATTTTAATTCCCATTTGGGATGCTTTCGCATGACTTCTTCAAACACATGCAAGTCTGTAAACTTGCTACCACCAGCTTCATAAATTACATGAGCTTCTTTTTCAACATCTTTCATGCTCATTCCGCTTCTTTTATTTCTGTATGCTTCCATGTAAGCACCTCTCCACTTGTTTACATTTTCATTAAGGCGTTTATAACGACCTTTCATTGAATCCAAGTTTCTTTCACCAATTTCTTCTGGATTTTCCATTCGAGCTTGCTCAAACATTTTAGCTATGCGTGACCATAATGAAGAACCCTTCTGATTCTTGCCACACAGTTTGTCTTCGCTAACGAAACACCAAGCTGACATTAGAGCAAGATCTTCCGCCACACTCCAACTAACATTTTTCGTTCCTTTTTGAGGATTTGTGCGTGTCTGTTGCACATTTTGAAATAGATTTCGAGAGATGTTTTGTGGGGGTTGGGCATTTACAGAAACTGGAAATTGGGTAAGATTAGGAGAAAATGGCTCTTGTGAATAATTTTCGAAATTCTGAAAATTTTCAGAGTTTGACAAATTTTGAGAATTGAGGTAATACTCAAAATTTGGATCCATATGGTATTTGTTGGAAATTAAGAGAAATAAAAGAGATGATAAAATTAATAAAGTATGATTAAGAAGAGGGTGAAAAGAGAGAAATTTCAGTTGTGATCTAAAACATATCAAGAGTGGTCTCTATTTATAGAGAATGAAAAAATACGAATTTTGATATTTTTTATTTTTTTTTTAATATATAAATAAACTCAATTATTAAGTTATCTTATCTTATCACAATAAAATTATGACTTCCAATTAAAAAAAGACATGTGTCCCATGCCTTATCTAACTACCAATAATTGAATTAAAAAAATAAAAAATAAAAAAAGAAAGCAACATGCGTCCAAATTCAAGAGCAATAATAGAATAAAAAAAAATCAAAAAAAAAAAAGAAAGCAAAAAAATGTGTTGCGCTCGGTTGCGACCCAAGGTCACCATCTGACCTGGGTCGCGTATTATCCCCTCTTTTTCTTTTTTTTTTTATTTTTATTTTTTGCTTTTTTTTGTCTTTTTCCTGGTGACCCATTGGGTTGGGTCACCGATAAGGTAAGTCTTAAGCTGAAATTCTCCCAATCTTGAAACTATCCTCAACAAAAAACCATCCTACAGAAAAGACTGACATGTGAAGTTTAGTTGCAGAAACACAGCCAAACATCAGTTCTTCTTGTTTCATTCCTATTTTTGTTGAGAAGCTTTCACGCTCGTTGACGGAGTGTCGTGTGGAGACGCTTCGTATTACAGATACACACAATGGTTAATAAAATCTTACAGCTTCCATAAGAAGACTTTACCAAAGTACAGATGTAGCTGTAGGCAAAGAAAATATGTTCAATGAAAGTTCAATTGATCTCGCCTCGCATGTCTACAAAGAAATATACTTCTTACAAGATCTTGATTTGTTCAATAAGGAGTCTTAAAGCTAATTTGATCGGTTTTCATTAGAAAACAGAAAACAATTTTCAGCTACTTAGAAGAAAGAAATAATGGGTACAAGTGACAAGTTACTGCAAGAAACTGGATATCAAAGATACTTTATCTAACCAAAAACAAAGAAAAAAAATGTAGTTCTTGAACCAGCGCACATTCTTAACAGGGTTTAAAACCTTTATGCACGACTATTAAGCAAAAAAAAAAAAAGTTCAAATATCATCCTAATCTGCATAAGAACTTCAACAACTGAACCGTAAGTGAATGACAAAGGAAGAGTAGTGCAGCACAATGTCTTTCTGTGAGGAGAAACCTCAAACACTTACTGTGCAACACAAAATCTCCAAAGAACCCATTTTTTTTCTAATGAATCATACTCAAAACAAACTCCCAGAATGTCACTACACTATTTTGAATCAAAGACAATTGGATCAGTTGATTTATGTATAAATTCCCCTCAAAATTAAGGTATTTTGGTCCTTTTTTCTTTCTCTCTCTATTTTCTCTCTCTCTCTCTCTCTCTCTCTCTCTCTCTTTTATCTGTTCTTTTTGCTCGTCTCTTGCGTGTGCTTGCATAATATTCGTAAAGTTCAGTCCCTTCTATTTATTTTGAGGTCATGCGACTGTTGAACCTTTTCACCTCCCCTTGCAGAGCCCCTCATTTTTCTTTCCCCTTAAACCCCTTCAAATTCTCGCTCCCTTCGCCTCTCCCTCCTCTCCACCGCCGTAATCGGAATCCCGGGGGCGATTCGCGTCTTAGCGACCGCGTTTACTGCTTTTGCTTGTCCAGAGGTGGTTCTACGGTGGCAACAATGTGCCCATCGCCGCCGTCCGTTCACGTCAAGGACCGTATTGATCTGACGGCCAAGGAGGAGCAGATATTCGACCGTCTTCTCCAGGTCCTGCGTCACTTCAATCTCCAGACGCAGCTTAGGGTCGCCGGCGGCTGGGTTCGCGACAAGGTTTTCCGGGCATTATGCTCTTTGTTTGTTTGCCCCTTTGCTTTTCATTTAATGAAATCATCAACTGTTGTAGAGATGAAATAGTTGGCCGGTAATTTGAGCTGAAAATATGTTTTGTTCGAAAAGGAAATAAATAAAACATTCATAAGGTTTTAGTTTGTGAATAGAAATGTTTTGTGGAAATTTTATGATTCTTGATGGATCTCCATTTTCACAGAATAGTCACTTCTCACTTGTGCTTACTGCAGCTTTTGGGGAAAGAATGTTATGATATCGATATTGCCCTTGATAATATGATGGGGAAGGAATTTTGTGAGAAAGTGAACGAGTATTTGTCGTCTAAAGGCGAAGAGGCTCAAGGAGTAGGTGTCATACAGTGGTACTTCACCTGAACTTTCTGATCTACTCAAAGGCATCTCTTTTTTCATTTTGTGTTTTTTTTTTTTCTTTTTTCTTGGCTTTTGCATAACATAGTGTAGAATTCATGTTTAAAGAATGATCGTCTTGTTTGCAGCAATCCTGATCAGTCGAAACACTTGGAAACAGCCAGAATGCGCCTTTTTGACGTGTGGATTGACTTTGTCAACTTAAGATCTGAAGACTACAGTGAAAATAGTCGAATCCCAACTATGGTGCGTGTTTATATGTTGTCATTATGCATTACCCTAAATAATGAAAAAAGGAAAAAGAAGAAGAATGTAATAATAAGTGTAATTGCAATGTTTTTGTTCTGCAGAGGTTTGGCACTGCTGAAGAGGATGCTTATCGAAGAGATTTAACTATCAATAGGTTTGTTGACTTATTTCTAGTAACTTTATGTGGCCTCTAATTTGAGTTCTGGATATATATATATATATATATATATATATATGTATGTATATGCACACACACACACATATATGTGTGTGTGTGTGTCTTGTATGTGTGTGGGGGCTATGTAGATGTTGATCTCTGAGAATGTAACTTATTCTGATATCACAAACTCAAATATTTCAACTTACCTGATTTTGACTGATTTTCTATTTAACAGCTTGTTCTACAACATCAATACGAGTTCAGTTGAAGATTTCACAAAAAGAGGTAAATGCATATTTATGTATTTCTATTTTAAATCTCATATGTTTTTGCGACTCTAACCTTAGGTAATATTGTTCTCCATTTTCATTTTTATTTATTTTTTATTACCCGGTCTAATAGGAATTGAGGACTTGAAAGCGGGAAAGATAGTGACCCCATTACCTCCAAAGCAAACCTTCTTAGATGATCCGCTTCGAGTTCTCCGGGCTATACGTTTTGGTAGAAAATGCAATTATTTACTATTGCCTTGACATTTTTTGTAAATGATTTTTTTTTTTCAGAACTGATTATAGAATATCAATAGGTGCACGGTTTGGATTCTTGTTAGATGAAGAACTGAAGATAGCTGCTGCAGACAATGATGTCAGAGAAGCTATTGCTGATAAAATCAGTCGAGAACGTATTGGTCATGAAGTATGCATTTGTTTATTGCTGATAAATTCACGTGAATCTTCGATTCTCGTTTTTTTC